CCGCTGTCTGTGAAGCGGGTCTCTGTGTCGTATCTGACCTGACCCGGGTGAGGACAGGGACCAGTACCCAGGACCTGAGCAGCAGCAGGTTGCCCTGTCTCCTCTCCCCTGTTTTCCCCTGGGAATTGTGGGTTTGCTCAACACCAGCCCTTGGGATCTTCTAGCAGGGAAGCAAGGGGGTTGTGGGTGATGGCAGATTTTGGGGGGTGTTGATCCCACAGCCTCAGCCTCATCCTCGGAGAGTGAGGAGGAGCCAGCAGCTTCTAAAAAACAGAAGAAAGCACGGCCCATGTACCTGAAGGACTATGAGAGGAAGGTGATCTTGGAGAAAGAAGGGTGAGAAGAATGGGTGTGTGGGAGGGACACGCAGGGCTTGGGGAAGTCCGTCCCCCCCCCACACCAGATTTAGGGAGTTCGTGAGAGCTTGCATGGTCCCCCATCTGCGGAACTAGGACAGGTGGGTTGTGGGCCGTAGCTTCTGATGGCCTGCCTCTCTCTGCACAGCAAATACGTGGATGAGGAGCACTCGGATGGGGAGTCCTCCAACCAGAGACAGCAGGTCCGTGGGTGGAGGCCTGGTGGGGGCGGCAGGGCTCAGGGCCAGGCCTGAGCTTACGGCACTGTCTCCTCCACAGCAAACCTGGTCCCGCAGCTACGTGGAGGAGCAGGAGGCGCTCAAGGAGAGGTGAGCCGGGCCTGGGGAGAGTGGCCCTTCGGGGGTCTAGTGGATCTAAGTCCACAGCAAGGAAGGCCAGCTCAACAGCTGGTGGTTGGCCAGCAGTGGGTGTTGGGGGGGGGAGGGTGGACGCCCCCCAGCCTGCCCTGCTGAGGCGTTTTGTTTTGTGTGGACAGCTTCCGCACATTCGTGGAGGACAGCGAGGAGGAGGAGGAAGAGGATGGCAACTCCGGGTTGTTGCAGAAACGGGCTAAGACCAGGGAGGAGAAGGTGGGTACTGGGCATGGCCTGGGGCTGGCGAGGGCTTGGGCTCAACCGGTTGACTCTCAGCACTGACCTGCCCCCAGGCCCAGGAGGAGGCCGACTATGTGGAGTGCAGGGGCGCAGGGTGGCCCCACAGTGACCAAGGTCCTGCCCAGGAGCATCTCTGAAGAGAAGGGAGAAAACCCCTTCTCCCCTCACCCCTATGGCCCAGTGTTTTGGGGGTGGGCATCAGTTTGTGGCTTGTTGGTGTTGATTTCTGGGGTGTGTTGTGGGTGTGTTTGGGGGACAGTTCTCATTTGTTTTTCTCACCCCTTTTGGTGTGTTGGACAGAGAGGGGCTCCTGCATGCGACAGCCATCTAAACGGTTCGGTTTCTTCAGTCTCCAGCTCCTGGGGCTGCAAACTTGCCCCAGGGCAGAGCATAAAGCCACTGACTGTGGTTATTGTCCCCAACTTCGAACACCTTGGGACCTCGGCTGGCTGTATCCAGAGACCTGAAGGGGGCGCACTACTCTGCGCCCAGGGCGGG